CGCCCCAGCCCCCCGCCGCGCAAACCCATGTTTGGGGGGGCATATTCTAAGGGGCGGCATTCCCCCCAATCCTTTTTTTTTTTTTTTTTTTTTTTAAACTTCGCCTGCCCCGCAGGTTCTCTTCTTTTTGGTTCACCACTCCAGCCGCCCTGTAGGGGGCGGCGGCACGGAGGAGGGGTCCTGCTGGAAGCGGGCTGCGTGCTCCGTCTGCCCCAGCTGGTGCCAGGTCTGTAGCAAGCCCGGCAGGGTATCCTGCGTCCTTCCCTCCCCGGTGACCGGCGCGGCGCGGAGCCCTCCCGGCAAACGGCACGGTGGGAGAGGCTGCAGGGCAAGTGCCCCGCTGAAGTCCTGGCCGCCCCCCTTCTCTCTCTTCCCCTGCTCCCTCCCTCTGCCCGGGGCACATCTGCAGCACCAGGAGTACCCCTGCACCTGTGCTCCGGCCGCCCTGCACGGTTTTTTTGCTCTGCCGCTCCGGCCGCCTCGCAGGTTGGTTTTTTTTTGCTTCAGCGCTCTGGCCACCCCACAGGTTTTTTTTTGCTTAGGGCGGCAAAAAAGCCAGAGCCAGCCCTGTTACACACCTACCCAAGGTTCCTTCCCCTGCATCAGGCTTTCCTGTGCTCGACCCCCAGGGCTGACTGAACTGTGATGGAGTCTCCAACAGGTCCTGGCTTGCAGCACAGCTGGGCCCCCCGACGCATGTCTCCCCCTGCCCCCATCCTCCTCGCTGTTCACGTCATGGGCCTGTGACTCAGCTCCACAAAGATATCCACAGTGGCGTGCGGGGCGTAAGTGGGGTCTGCACCAAGCATGGGATGCAGCTCTTTGTAAAAGGGGCAGGTTTGCAGCTCAGCACTGTATTGACTGTTCGCTTCCCTGACCTTCTGCTATGCCTGCTTCAGCTTCTTGGCTTTCATGCGGCACTGCTGCCGGTCATGGTCATGCCCCTTCTCCTGCATCCCCCGTGCAATCTCCCCATAGACATTCACATTTCTATGGCTGGTCCGTAGCTGTGCCTGCCCAGTCTCTTCTTCCCCCCCGCCTCGGGGAGCCAACATCCCCCTTTTG